GCCCCCACCCCCGTGTGTCATATCGACCCACTTGCACACAGCGAAAAGGCAAACAGGCTACAGAAGGCGTAGGATTCAGTCAGAAGTGATTGGGGGTTCTTGGAAGGGTCATGCCAATCAAGAAACCAAAGAGGGGTAGTATGAGACAGATAGCAACACAAACTGACAATGCAACAGATGATTGAAATAGTTAAAATATCAACACAAATCAGACAACTGACACCTTCCAAGTAACTGGAAAAGGTCTGGGGCACCCCCAATGCTCGGAGGGCACGGGCGGGCGGGCCCAGATTTTCGCGCTGCCAAAACGGCAAGGTTGAAGCGGAAGGTCTCACACGTCTGATTCGTCTCCTCTGCAGAGCTGGAGCGGGCGACAGTAGGCAGCGGAGAAAACCGATCGTCGAAAAGGCACCCGACGCTGCTATGACCAGTGAAGAAGTACTGCCGAGCCTCGAGGGACTGATTTCGGCTGCCTGGGCATCCGAGAAATGCCAGGCCCTTGAGGGTTCTTGTTTTGGCCCCGAAAGGCCCTTGTCAACTCTATATTCCCTAGGGGGGTTCCCTGCTCCCCACCGGTTTAGTGAAATAAGCCTTGAAGCCAATCCTCCAAACGGGGTACCTTGCTCGAGCCCAGAAAGGAACGTTGCTGCAGGTACATCCCACGGTACTGCTGCCCCGGCGCTCTTCTATCCAATCGGCGAAGAGGGAGGCCAAGAATGTTCACTCGCTAGGGCTGCTGCCCACAACCCGAGGTGAGTGTCAGACTTATCATCACCGGCTGACATTAGTGATTCCCGCTCCTTCTCAGTGAAAGGTAACCTCCGCTGCAAGTTGTCAGCAAAAAACCCGAGTCCAATTGGAAAAGAAAAGCTACGCCTTCTATACGGGCATGGCCAGTGTTAAGGAGAGGAGGGGGGGAACCAAGATCTCCTTACTTTTGGGGGTAAATACATGTAAAATACTGACAGTGGGATCACCAGTACTGCAATGCAGGATTTGGGTCACTCAACTGCCACACAAACTCTTTTCTATCCTATCGGGTTGCTAGTGGGACCATGCCCCAGGCAATTCGGCGCCGGTGGTCCTTGCAGAAATTTAGCAAGGACCCTCCATGGCCTCCACTGAAATCGAGGCAGGCAATGTGACAGCCGCGGCCTAGGCCGGCCTAGGCCGCGGGCAATCCGGCCGCCGCGGCCGAAGAAGTCTGCCGCAGCCGCGGCCTCCAGGCCTAGTTTGCGGCCCGATATTTCGGATATTGTTTTGGGGGTCCCTACCCTCAGGAGATGGACTATTATGGTCATACAACAAAATGATTTTCAACAGCGTCAAGCTGATAAGCAATCGTAACAAAATGGGATGCAGTAAAGCCTGTACGCAGACATTTGTGGCTGTCAAGCCACAAGCATTTGGTAGATCTGCCCCCAGATCCGAATCGGTCACCACTGGAAAGCCAGGTCAGCCGTCCACGTGGCAGAGCAGACTGTCGGTAAGACAAAGAACCCGGCTGATTTGCATCAACACGACGTCCAGAGGAAGGGGGACTGGGAGGAGGAGAAAATGAACGAACCTGCCAGACGTCCCAATATGGACAACGAAGATAAAGGAGGGGCCGATCTCGGCCGGCATAGGGAAGACGAAGACAAACTAGAGGAGGCAGAAGAAGAAGAAGAAGAAGAAGAAGAAGAAGAAGAAGAAGGGGGGGATGACAAAGAAGAAGAGGATGCTGGCAAAGAGGAAGGGGAAGGAGAGGGAGGGAGAGAGAGAGAGGGCGGGGGAGGGGAAGGGGAAGGGGAAGACGGAGGAGGAGGAGGAGAAGAAGGGGAAAGCGGAGAGGAGGAGGAGGAAAAAAGAGGAGGGGAAGATGGACAAGAAGGGGGAGGGGGAGGGGGAGGAGGATGAGGAGATGGAAAAGAGGAAGGGGGAGGAGGAGGGGAAGAGGGAGAAGGAGAAGGGAAAGAAAGGGAAGGAGAAGGTGGAAGAGGATAATGCACGGACCAGCGAGGCATACGGCGAAACCATTGTGTAAGTCGAGTCACATGTATAGGGTGTCGACGCTGTTGAGCTCGAGTGTAACAAGTCCATCCTCGGGCCAATGTCAAAGGAGCATGGCCACGGGAAAGCAAACGGCGGACAAGCATGGTTGTCGCAGTTTATGTATATATATCCTCACAGAGTTATCAGAGCGCACAACGGAAAAAACAAAGAGAACAAAAAAGATATCAATTCATTTTTTATCTTCTGACTTACAACTCCCCCTGTTCCTTTTTTTTTTTTTTTTTATCTCCTGTCTTACAACTCCCCCTGTTCAGAACCTCTTGCGTACATATCTTTATATATGTATATATATGCGGCACAACGCTCTCTCCTGCACACACGGCTGACACAGAGAGAGAGAGAGAGAGAGAGAGAGAGAGAGAGAGAGAGAGAGAGAGAGAGAGAGAGAGAGAGACTGGGGTTTAATTAGCGAAGCAGACTGCATCTAACCTGAATCTGGACGTGCTTGTGAGGAGGTGGAAAAAGTCTCCCTTCTGCATCTCTCCGCAAGCTCGTCGAGATTCGAGGCTTAAATCCATTCCTCTTTGGTAATCGAACCTCTCTCTCTCTCTCTCTCTCTCTCTCTCTCTCTCTCTCTCTCTCTCTCTCTCTCTCTCTGTGTGTGTGTGTGTGTGTGTGTGTGTGTGTGTG